TCTGTGGTCTAGTGATTAAGCGTTTACGTTGAAAACAGGCCAGGGATTCGATCCGCGCATATGGAATCATGGACACGAACTTTTTAGGAGTCATATACTTGGACGACACGGCCGTTCAGTACATCCAGACTTCCAATGGTAGTTTAACATTGATTGGTTCATGATTCCAATGAAATTAGATAATCTTTTGTAAATTTAAGCTGCCTTGACAATTGATAAGAAACCATGGTATACAATCGATTCATCATATTTCACAAATCTCGCTATTCCTGTTCAGTCTAAAATTATTACTAACAAATATTAAGGAATGCCCTAATATATATAACTCTTGAATGCATTTCAAAAAATTAACTTTAATTGTCTCTTGTCTAAATCTATTTACGAACGAGATGTATGAACAAAATATGCTGAGTTTAATTCAGTTTAGCTTAAGATCCTTAAAGTAAAATTCATGAGGTAAGATCTTTAGTAGTTTGGTTATTTTTATTCAGTGGAGATTAATTTAAGTTCTGTTTACAACTCCAAATTTTTCATACATATATTTCCTTTTATCATCAAAAACAAAGATTCTAACAGAATAGAATGAATTCATTTCGCGAGCGGGATCGTGGATGCGCACTGCTGAGGAGTTCCATAATAAGACGAGACGGCCGTCCAGTGCTTCCAAATTCCCAATGACGGTCTAACATCAACCGATTCATGATCTAAATCATTTTATTTCATTTGGTTCTCGTCAGCCGCTTACAACCTGTGATATTTAAAAACATAATCACAAAATGGGTTTAAATCAGTTACGTGAAAGAGTTTAGTCGGATATTATTTTAAAGAAATCATTATACTATGGCAAAAGTGTAGGCACATCTAATAAACTGAATATTGTAAGTACATACCTTAGGCAAAAGAACATTCTGCAACACTGATCGTAACAAGAGTTCAAAAAGCCAGAAACAAATGGTTACGTAATGTGTAAACTCTGATAAAGATAAAATGAGTAAAGCTCAGTTAATAAAACCAGATTACTAATCTAGAAGACAGTTGAAATGAAAAGACGTTATGATGTAATGAAATGAAAGGAAGAGTTGAAAATTTTTTTTTGAAGGTGCAACGAAGGCATATTTGTCACCAAGGCAAGGAGAGGTCAATAACAACCTCCTTTGGAACACACAAATCAAGTTTTTGATACCTGATAGGAACAACTTCAGAAGACTAAGGCTTGGCTGCTTACTAATCACCTTGAAAGATTTAAAGGTATCGACCTGATGTCCCGTCTCTTAGGCATTTCTCAACGTTCATCAATCCTTCTCCCAGTTTTTCGGTGATGTATATCCGTTCTACACCATAAAACAGTGTTTTGACCAATGCTTTATTGTAACTGAGTGGACAAAAACTACTGAAATTCAGGTAAAGACCATTCCAAGTACTTTTACGATAAATCGAACGTTGAACTGTCCCGTCTCCTCTACGTTGTATGGCAATATCAAGATGGTGTAACATGATATCCTTTTCGTGTTTCATAGTAAATTGTATATTGTGATCAACATTACTGAAGAGTTTTAACGGGCTGATTGCATGCTGTTTAATATTGCAGACAACAAATGTGCCATCAACATATATGAACTATTCCGTTGTTTCGCTAATCGCCTGTTTAAGTACTGTAGTTTCAAGATACCCCATAAAAATATCTACCATAATTAGGCCTAATGGACTTCCCATAGGTAAATCATCAATTTGACAGTATATAGTGTTATTGAATTGGTATTGAACGTCTTTTGTACATAGATACTATGGTATTAAAATAAACTCTTTAAAGGCAAAATCTTGTTTTTCATAACTCACGGTAGCTTGGTATGGGAGATAGTTAAAGATGTTATCACTCTATACATTGCCAAAAGGTCTCGTAATATAGACACACGAACACATAATAGTCTGATTTATTTAACCAACTAATTTATATTAAATTAAATTAATCATAAGAATAAAAGAAAACAATTTCGTGGATTGGTTGAAATTAGACACATACGCCGTTGAATGCCAACTTATTGATCTAAAGGTTAAGCGTTCGCGCGAGACTGATAGGTCCTGGACTGGGATCTCGCGAGACGGGATCGCGGATGCGCACTGCTGAGAAGTCCCACGACAGGACGAAACGGCTGTCCGATGTTTCCAGGTTTTCTATGATGGTCTAGTTTCAACTGACTCATGATCTCAACAATTAAGTTAATTTAAAATTGTTAGAAAATTTAAATTTATTGAACCGATTGGGATTTTTAATGGATCCAATAGATTATTTAACATTAATATATTATGATTAGCTGTAATAAAGTGAATTTAACACAGTATGTTTTAGTTCTAGTTATTTTTGTTCAATACAGTTTTTTTATTTCAAGGCTACTGACATGATTTATAATTGTATAAGGGTTTCACTCAATTGTACAGTTAATTATCTTACAATAAATATAACAGCATGGAAAAAATGCTGTAAATTATATAAACACATTATTACCTAGACTTTCTGTTCTAGAGGCTGAAAGTTCGCGCGCGAGATTGAAAGATCTGGGTTTGAGTCCCGCGAGTGAGATCGTGAATGGGCATTGCTTAAAAGTCCCATACTGAGACGGAACAGTCATTCAATGCTTCCAGGTTTTCAATAGTGATGTAACTTACATTGACTCATGAGTTCAACTATTAAAATTACTACAATCTCCACAAATCCCCATTCTAACATAATTGTTACAATTTTTTAGTAACGTTAAATAGTATCCAGCTATGGAATTCAAAAAGTGGTTTTCTTTTTATTCTGGACTCATTAATTAGGTACACCAGCATCGCAGTGTTAATGTTCAGAACACAAGTTCTAGATTATACAGCTAGCCATTATTAAATTTTGCCAAAAAAAGAAAACAACAACAACAACAACTTGTGGTTCAACAATTATATCATAGTAGTGCATTCAAGATGTAAATATATCAAAAGAGGCTAAACAATTCTAATCTTTAATATCAATAACTTGCAGATACAAGCATTAACAAATGATTGTTACAGTTTACTGTCTATACAAATCAAAATCTAATGATTTCTTTTACATGTTCATCTATGTAATTTATAATGGTTTATTTAAAATATTAAAAATTTATTCCTGAACTGCTAACTTCTAAATGACAACCATTCAATATGTTATCTTCAGGATAGACTAAGTAATAAGAAACGCAAACTTGTTGAAATACTTTATGCTGCTTATCATATATTTTACCAAGACTATAATATTGAATACTGTGAATAATAATAATAATAAAATGAACAGTTGTCAAATTATAAATAAATAATATATTTGTAATATCCCAATGAGTAGAAAAATGAGATTTTCTGACGTTTCGTGACTTAGCATGAGCTACTTCTTCAGAGAATAAATAACCGAATTAAAATTAATTCAAGTTTGAATAGTACAACGGAACAACAAGTTGTTCATTAACATGGTTATTATTTAGTTTACTACTTATTAATGAATATCATATCGTAATAATCAGTAGTAGAAGAGAAAAATATTATGTCAACTTGAATGAAGTTAGTTGAAACATATGACTACTTCTTTAAAAACAAAACAATATGTTACATTGAGCCAAATGAAAATTTTCAAATATATCAAACTGCTCATTCAAGCTTATATTACATTATATAATAATTATAAATATACGGTACAATCGTATAGTATGACTATCAAATTATTTATAATTATCAGTATAAAGGTTATGGAGATTATCAAGTTTTTGATTGAGATCATGAACCGATTCGTGTTAGACCACCATTAAAAACCTGGAAGCACTGCACGGCCGTTTCGTCCTATTTTAGGACTCCTCAGCAGTGCGCATCCACGACCCCGCTAGCGGGATTCGAACCTAGGGCATTCAGCCTCGCGCACGAACGCTTAACCTACTAGACCACTGAGCCGGCATCTAATTGTGTTAGTGTCTAACATCTTTCGCGAGACTGGAGGCCCTGCGTTCGAATCCCATAGGCGGAATCGTGGATGCGCACTGCTGAGGAGTCCTAAAATAGGACGAAACGGCCGTGCAGTGATTCCAAATTTTTGATGGTGGTCTAACATCAATCGGTTCATGATCTCAATCAAAATATTTATAATGAATTTAATAGTTTTTTTAATAGAAAATAAACAGAATTGCAAATATTATTAATATTGATTTCAGTAATCTATTTTGATATAATGATATGTGAAAAAATTTTTGTTTAAAAATGAATAAACAGGATCATAAACACCAATAAAATGTGTAACAGAATGGTTCATTTTTAACAGTTTCTTTCATGCTCAAACACCAATGCATCAATTTCGATTTGAATAACCAGTTAGTATAACTAGCTTACATATTTGAAGTGTGCTTCATGATCAAATACACAAATCTGTTAATCCTTAATTTTGACAAAGAACTTGAATGATAATAATAAAACATTTGAGTAGTCATTGTGATATTTCTTTAAATAGGACTTACAAGTGGTTGTTCCTATTTTGCTTCAGCCAATCAATTACATTGAGGTCATGAACGGATTGATGTTAGCCCACCATTGAAAACCTCGAAGCACTGTACGGTCGATTCGCCCTATTGTGGAACTCCTCAGCAGTGCGCATCCGCGATCCCGCTCACGAGATTCAAACGCAGGGCCTTCAGTGTCGCGCGTGAACGCTTAACCTACTGGACCACTGAGCGCTGGAAGTGGATAGGACACACATTGAGGAAAGCACCCAACTACGTCACAAGACAAGCCTTCACATGGAATCCTCAAAGCCGAAGGGAAAGAGGAAGACCAAAGAAAACATTACGCCGGGAAATGGAGACAGAGATGAGAAAAATGAACAAGAATTGGATGGAATTAGAAAAGAAGGCCCAGGATAGAGTGAGTTGGAGAATGCTGGTCGGCGGCCTATGCTCCATTGAGAGTAACAGGCGTAAGTAAGTAAATAATCAATTACATAACAATTTCAAACTTACATTGTTTTAATAAAATCAATGTTTCTTTCTCTTCATCTTGTCCAATTGGTTTATCAATGAATTGATTATTCACATCAATTTCAGCTTTTAATCGATTACGTAATATTATTGGTAATGAATTCCATTCAGATTCATTATTCACATTGACTTTTGGTACCGTTTTCAAATGCAATTGATGTAAAATTTTATTTTTAAATTTTTCAATTATAGATTGTATTTTTTCATTATATTGAAGATTATTGAATTGTGGATTTTTATCATTTTCATTATCATAAGAGTTAACACCATGATCATTTGTAATGATATTAGATAAAAATGGATTATTCATTTGTTGTGTAAGCCAATGATCTGAATGATATAAATAGGATCTAAGTGATTGTTTTTGTTCATTAGATAATTGTAAATAATATCTTAATGGTCTATGATAATATTGTTTGAATGTATTAATTGTTGTTATTGGTGTTGGTGTTGGGGTTAAGATAGATGCATCAACTGTCAGATTCATTGAATGAAATAAATCATATTTTAATTGACTTTTAATAATAATCATTAATAAAATAATAAAAAATTTTATATTAAAATGATTACAGAAATTTTTTAATAATAATTCTATGTGTGAATGAATATAATATTGAAACTGTTGAATTGATAAGAAAGCGGAATTTTCAAATATCATAGATGATGATGATGATAATAATAATAATATATGATGTCCTAATATTATAATTCGTTTATAAACAATATTATATAAGAGATTATTGTACATATTACTTATGTATTAAAGAATTGGGAAACTTTTTCTTTTTGATTATCAATGATCTATTGAGAAACACTCTGTTCTTATATACATATATATATATATATATATTAGGTAGAAATATATATGTAAATTTAATTGGACAATACCTATGTGGTCTTATCCGGTATACAACTCAAAGGTATTATAATATAAAACTGCTCACTTCACCGAATATCATATGAGATGAATTTGACTATAGACACTCAACATAATATTAGTTGTTATACATAGGGTTTGTATGTGTGTAGATATATATATATATATATGGGAAGTTGGAATGAATCTACCCTAAAGATATATATGTCTATATATGAACACAAATACTTATTATTGTCTATTCAATTATATGAATTTTTAACTAATTTCACTGTTACTTTTTCATTGTTTAAAATTTTCTCTTCCTTTACAATCTCCCTTTATTGTTTTTTTTTTAAACGAAAAATATGTTTACATACATATTGTCTATGAACATGTTTTCAAAGAATACAAACTTTCCTCCCTTTCTTACAATTGTTGACATGGTAGAGAAGCAGTAATTTTGTTTCTAGGTATACATATATATATAAATGTATGGTTGTTAAGTTTTGAAAACGAACGTTTTTCGTCTGTTTTTTTTTTAAACAATAGAAAGTAATAAGAATAATAATGAAATAAACTTATTCATAACCTTGGTTGGTTAGTGATAATCATTTTTAAAATATTAACTATAGAGAGATAGATAGATAGACATGAATATTATTCCCACCCACCTGTCAATAATTATTCATAAACCAATAGGATACTTTTATTTATTTCCTTTTTTTGGGATCAAATATACACTTATCACATTTGAACTATAGAATTGTAGACTAATTATCTGTTTGATATAAACAAATTAATTATTATATGAGATTTATGTAGATTATTCAAGGTTTTTTAATGTACATTATGACAATTATTTAAAATTGGAAAATACTGGAGAGTTGTTTTATCCTAGGAAATGACTCTTTATTGATTCAGATGGATGATTAAATAATAGATCTAATTGAAGACTTTTAGATCTTGTAACATGGGATTAACTTTAAATGAATCATCCTTTGAAAATACTAATATTGGGTGTAAGTACGTTTAGGTACCATGTTTCAAGATGATATGAAAGCCTGTTTTAATATCATAGTTAGAAAAAACTGATATGATGGAAAGAAAAGTCACTTTTTGATTGATTTACTCATGATGAGTTTTGTTCAAGATTACTTCCGTTTCGACTCAGTGTAATGATTACTCAATGTAGTATTTGTTTTCCTTCCTCGTATGATATTTTGTTCTTTAAAATATGCGATATTCTTGTATTCCATTGACATGACCTATGCTCAGTATATGGTTTGTTATAACTCTAAGTATTTTTCATATATATGATTTCATCCCAATTATGAATCAAAATGGTTGTACAATCAATATATAAATGAATGTATTTTCTACTACAGTTGTTGTCGTCGTCGTGTTTTGGGGTTAATAAATCTCCACTTATACCAGTCTTTGTGTTCTTACTTTCGCATCGTGGGAATTGCAGAGGTCCCTCGTTCCGAGTATAAGTGATAAACGTTTCCGATATAACAATCAGCGACGACCAGATACAAAAAGTAGCATTAAAAGAGCCAAAACAATAAGCATTCAAACGACAAGTTATAACAAAAACATAAGCTTTTTTGAAAAATTCTTAGTCATGTTGTATATAGAGAAGTGTTTGTAGTGCATAATTCAGTAATATGAACAATATTTCACAGATTAGTGGTGATCATAGATATTTTTACTAAAAAAAACTATAATCGAAAATACTGGATTCATTATTACTAAGCTTATCTGGTCTGACAGTAACATTGAAGAAGGATGTTAATAAAAACAATACTGAATAAATTATTCATAAAATTAAAAATCATAGAAATTTGAGTTAAAATGGAAAGTTTAGTAACAATCTAATCACAATAATGAAAACAGAGTATGTACAGAATTGATAAAGCAAATGTTAAATCAACTATAATTATTAGCATTTTTGTCTAATCGTTTAAAATGAATAAATATAAGTTAGGCATTAATATCGTTGGATGCTGGCTCAGTGGTCTAAAGGTTAAACGTACACGCATAAGACTGAAGGTCTTGGGTCGAGTCCCGTGTGTGAGATTGTGGATGCTCACTGTTTAGAAGTCCCATACTAGGATGAGATGACCATATAGTGCTTTCAGATTTTTAATGGTGGTCTAGCCTATAGTGATTCATGAATTCAACTGTTGAAATACTACAATCTTCACAAATCCTCATACTGAGGATAAATGTAAGTTGAGAAAACTATTGTACTTCACAATAATACATTCGTAATACTTGTGTAAGTAATAAACAATTTGGATTACATGTCTGACACAACTTCGTTTAAGTTGCTTCATCAACACATTTGGATTTCGTAATTTACACATTGTTTCAACCACTTACCTTACTCTTTAAATGAAAAATGTGTTTTGGTTCATTTTTTAGGAAATTTTTAGAATTAATTTAATGGTTGTTAAATATACGATACATTACTATGATCGCTTTCATTTGAACATTTCCAAGGTTTACAAAATCGTGACGAACTCTTTTAAGATACTTTAAATGGTAAGACCTGTAGTGTCGGTTACTATGTTAAGCCCATATAACTTATTCTAGCTTCGGGACAGACCAATTTCTTCATTATTCTTGTGTCATATTTTGACCTTGTTAATTATTCACTTTTCAACCTTGAGTGTTTATATATGAGCCTATGTGTGTACACTTTTTATCCTTTTCATCACATGTTTGTAACTTATTTTTTTGTGACCATAAACTCTCCGTTAAATGGAGACTGCTTACATGCCTTCTTCACTGAGGGTCGTTTCGCTTTGTCCCTCTGATTGTCTGTCCAGATGAATGTGTACAAAATATACATATTCAAAACTTCGTTCTCGTACCTGACTTATTTAATTCCGTTATTCAGCAACTCGAGTTAGGTCGATAATAATATATGAGAATAGCCAGGATATATATTTCGACAACAATCATTCAATAGCGATCAATATATGATCTAATGGGAGTCAAATTTTGGGCTAGTAAAGTGGTGAGCTTATCGACAACATCGTCCAATCTAATTGACAACAAAATAAAGGCCTCCATTAAAGACTCTTCAATATGAAATGTTTCATCATGACGACCTAAATTTGTAGTTTAGTGTTACTATAAATGAGATTTATCTATTACTTTAGCCATAAAATTTTGAATATTAAATCAATTTTTCCTGTGTATTTAGTTTTTTTTTCTCAATATTTAATGATTATCGGTAAACGATTTTGTGAAGATTGTATAATTTTTGTGGCTTAAATCACAAACTGATTTTAGATAGACCACCACTGAAAAACCAAGTAGTACTAAATAGTTGCTTTATCCTAGAATGGGACTCCTCAGTAGTACTCATCCACGAACTTTGCACAAAGAAATAAACCCAGAATCTGTGGTCTCAGGTGTGCATGCCGAACTTCTAACCCATGAAGCAGTCACCTAGGGGTATACATGTCTAACTTCAATGAATTTGCGATATTTTAGGAGTTCTAGTGACCAGTCGAGTTCAAAAATTTTGGTTGTGAAACTACATTACATTTTATGATAGACGGTCACGTATTAACGTGAATTGATTGGAGTTAGACACCTATACCACTGGACGATGGTTTACTGATCTAGGGGTTAAGATTTTATAAGAGTTTCTAATTTGTGATTTATCACTGAAAATATCTCATTTTCAATTAACAGTTAATTTGACTTGATATAAATTTCATCTGACAACAGTCAATGTACTTACTGTGGTAATCTTCACAAACTGTACTTCATAATTATTGAGAATTAATGTATTCTTTTAAAGTTACTTTGATTTTATCGGGCATCTTTTTTAAAATTAATGGAGCACATATGACAGCGTGATTGTCTTCTCTGATACGCCATACTAGCTAGTATGAGTGTAAATTAAAAACAGGCTATCATTAGTCAAAATAATACATAATATGTATTATTGAAATGATAAGCTATTGGATAGAATAGAGTTAAATGAAGCAGACATTTTCATGTATACAAGTGAAATACTCTTATTCCGTAGTCAATCATCTCAAGTTAGGCGACATGAAATCAGTCGGAAGCATACTGTTACTCGATGTTTGTAGACTCCCTGGTGTCACCCTTCTTTTCGGATTACATGTCGTCTTTTGAATAAATACCCAAAGTAAGGTCAATATTAGTTTTCATTACATAAACAAGAGTACGTTTATTTGACCTCCATTTAGAATAATATACTTTTTTGATCTCCTCTTCATAAGTCAGAAACAACGATCTCAACTTTCAAAGGTTATCTGGAAACATATTTAATTACATTTCTTCCAAGCTCAATTCTTCAGAAAACAATACTTAAGTAATCAGTAGTCAAAAGCTGCAAGAGACGGCTCATATTTAATTTTCTTTTACTCAAGACAGAAGATAGACAGTCACCCTACCTTTTCATCATTCTTCCAATCTTCAAACTTGATTCACTTGAAAATAACTAGTTTTCACTGTCTGACCTCTCTCTCTTTCTCTCTCATAGTCATTCTTCAACATTTTACTTAGTTTAGTAAACAGTAGCAACTATTTTGTGACTGATATATTAACTTGATCAGGTCATAATTAGTAGAATGTACTCTGCCCTAAATCTGGCCGATTCTATGGATTACTAATTTGGATTTATAATTGTAGAATCTGATGAGAAATTATTGAAAAGAATAATCTTCGTTCACACAATTGTGTTGCAATATTTAAGGTTGAAAATGAATCATTTAGATAATACCTAATGTTTAAGCAAATCCTAATACTTACTTATTTACGCATATTACCCCTCGTGGAAAAGCATAGGCCGTCCACCAACATTCTCCATCCAACTCTATCCTGGACGATTCTCCCCAATT